GAGAAGGAATGTGAGGGAAATAAATAATCAAGTATTTGCCAGTGAGAAATTTCAGGTGGTCAAACATGTAATCTAAAATGCTTCAATGTAGAAAATTTCTCTTCCCAAAAGAGAGTTCCAAACTGTTCATATTTAACTTGTGATGGACTGGTGTTTTGAAGGAAGAAAACAACTTTTGCATCTTTAAGCCTTTAAATGTCACTGAATTTTGATTTCTCAAAATTTTTGAAAGGAGGAAAGGACATAAAACATCTAAACAAAGAAAAAATCCTCTACTTGAATTGGCCTTTCAGTGTAAATTGTTGAGACGTTTTGGCTTTTTAAACTCAAAGCTACTGTGAAGCTTTTTGGGAAGGAGACATGGGACAATACAACCCATCAGATGTTTTAAATCAAATTAAACATTTTTCTTTTTTTAGAATCTGATTTGTTTTTTTGTTGATGTTGTAGGTGTGGCCAGGCTTTAGGAAGGATCTGAAGTGTTTCTGAGTTGAGGGCCTAGTGGAAGGAGGCCTAAAAAACCCCAAAAAAGCCTTTTCACTTTTAAGCTGAGCACATTCAATATGGAAATCCCCATGAACCTCTAAACACTAAACTTCAACTTTCTGTATTTGCAGAAGTGTTTGTGGCAAGACTGTCTTTTCAGTTGTAGGAGAGGATAATCCAGTGCTGCAGAGTAAATTCTAATATTTTGCTAAGGAACCGGGTTTCTTTTGAAGCTGTGGAGGCTTGCATGGTTTGTAGGTGTCCTGTTGGTTTTGTTTATTTTTTAACTGCTTTGTTTATTTGTTTATGTTTTTTTTAGAATAGCCTTTTACATAGGTGAATGTGACAAGGACCTCTGAAAAGAACAGTGTATGAAAAGTGCATTAAAGTGGAGCATCAGGGGCAGTACACAAAAGTTTAATGCTGTCTATCTATTTCTCAGAACAAAAGACATTTATTTGAACCTGTCTTCTTTATTCATTTGACAACTCTCTGGTGTTTCTTTGCTAATGTAGCTCAGTGGTACTATTGCTACAGATTATTGCACCTATAAAACTGGTCTGTGCTGATTTAGGGAGATGCGCTTTGGTAATTTACAGTGAAAATTTATGTTCGTTGAGAAAAATAAAAGGCTTCATTGAAAGCTAATATTAATAAAAATGCCACTTATGTGGCATGTTGTTTTGGGTTTTTTTTGGTCCAGTGGCTGTTTATTAACTAATTCAGCTGCATACAAAACGCATTCCATTGTGATTTCTGTGCTCATGTGTATCCCCATGCCTGTCTGGGCATGTTGTAGCATTGTGCCTGTGAGAGGTGTGCTGCCCCATTACTGTACAGTTCTGTATTCCACATCATGGCTCTCTTTGTGCCTGGCTACAGAAAAAGAGAAATGTGGCACCACCTTAACTCATCCACCTGCCCATAACCCATATGAAAACAGTACCATGGAAGGTGTGTGCATTAACCCAGTGACCTACCTGGTATTTTGATCTGGCTAGTGGGAACTCACATTCTCAGTTACAAGTCTTACCCAAGTTTTTATTGTATTAGCCCCATCAGAGGGCATGACTTTTTTAGAGGACTTGTGCTGCAATATGGTGCCACTTTCCTTCCTACCTACTTCTGCATTTGAGCTCCTTTAAGGGTCTTACACACTCTCCAACAAATCTGAGTGACTCTTAACTACTGCTGTGGTTTCTGTACCAAACACAGTATGGCAGGCACAGGTGTAATATGCATCATACCCTCCTTGTTCTTCTGCCTGCAGCTTGTGCTGTTTATTCCCTGGGGTGAATCCCCTTGAAGTGCTCAGAGCTGGATATGTTTCCTGCTCATGTACTGAAGATCTCAGTCCATACAGTGTAGGTAATCTTGCAAGGTGATCTCTCCATACCATCATTTTTCCATGTGCTGCCTCACTGGTGTTTGGTGTTCTGCCCACCTGGAGTTCATTTTAGAACAGCTCTGTATGTGTCCTCTGTCCCCAAAGCTCCTGCTTTAAAGGAGATGCAGCATGTCCCAGACACCTCTCTTCCTCTGCATCCATTCCTAAGGAACTCTCTGAATTTTAGTCTGATTTTCAGCCTGTTTTGTTTGTCTGGTGCTTGCCATTCATTGTTCACTGGATTTTGAAGGTCAGGGAAAGTATATTTTCAAGGATATACCCTTGACAGTAACCAGTCCTGCCTGCCTTTCCCCTCTCCACCTAAACTAGAGAAAAAAGCAACATTTTATACATGGATGTATATATAAATAATCTAGAATGTAGAAAGACCAAATGTAATTTTCATTTAAATAAAGGCTGCCATTTAATTTAATATTATAGAAAATGATTAGATCTTAAACCCTTATAAATTACATTTGACAACTCTCTGGTTCTCCTTTGCTATTCCTTATGGCAATTATAAATGGCAACACAGGATGCTGGCAGAAATGCTCATTCTGACTGGAGTTTGTTTATTGTCTCTCAATGAAAAGTAATTAATCTAAATCACTGGTGGGGTAGATGCTTCCTCCTGGTCCCATAATGAGAAGGCTGAAAGTTCCCTCCCCCTATAGCTTCCAGAAGAAAAAGTAGAAACAATAAAAAAAGAAAAGCCAGAGTCTGTCACTTTTCTTTCTCTGTGTGCTATGTAACAAACGTGTGCTGGTCCAAGCTGCATGGGTGGTGGTGAGCTTTTGTTTTTCACTCTGATTGAGCCTCCTGCCTTTCCATCCTGCTCTGTGTAGGACCAGCCTTTCCTGGGAGGATGGATGGCAGCAGAGATGTTGGGTGGTGTTCATTTCTCCATTTGAAGAATGGAGAGTGGATGTGGAAATTGGGTGAAGGCACAGGGCATGATTTATGTGATGTCATCTCCAGATGTGACTGTTGTTAGGTTCTTCCACCTTTCCTAGCTTGGTGGTTTTATTATCTGATCTTCTAACACTGTTACACACCCAGAAGAACAAATTGGCCAGATTTGTCAGCCATCTGGTGGAAATACTGCCTTTGTTGTCTCATATGACCATTTCTTGCACTATCCACTGAAGTGCTGCAGATCATGTGTGAAAGGGCAGAGAGAATGTTTTGTGTGCGTACCACTTCAGGTCCATGCAGTCTTGTGCTCCTTATTTGAGGACAGAACTCCAGCAGTAACCTTTTAATATACAGCTTTATTAACTGTGTAATCCTCTATTACATCAGGTGGAAAATGTTTTTATTCCTGAAGTAGCCTTTATTTTAAATATAAAATCTCTCTGGATTGTCTTCTTAAACGGCCAGGCCTACATCCTTTTTCCATTCCATATAAGCAAGTGATTTTTACTAAACTATGTTATAGTTCTCTGGCATAGGCAATATGCTTTAGGTGAACAGGGGTAAAAAATATCTTTGCACTCTAAGAAAGGAATATCTTCAAATACTTGTAAAATTATTACTGTTTGGGGCATAATGAAATTGATATTTTGATCAGATTAGAAAGAATGAATGTACCAAAACATCCCTTAGAGTGGATATCTTGGAGCTCTCTTCTCAGGCTAATTCCCAGGAAATCATTTGCATGTGGGGAATGCTTCTCGTTCCCCACACCGGGCACCAGAGCACAATGCAAGTGCATTTCTTCAGGATTTATCCCATGGCTTCCTGTGGGAATGGCTAGGGATTGATTTTGGGGCGGGTAAGTGATGGATGTGAGGGATGTTGAAGGTCCTTTGACATCAAACTGGATTCATACAGGTGGCTTCACTCTGGGAAAATGTTCACTTCTAGTTCAGCTTTTCATTCCTTAATGGAAAGGATCAGAAGCCATTTACATTGTATTCCCTTTCCCTTGGTGACTTCATGGAGCTAATGAGGTACTTAAGATTAAACAAGCACTGAAATTTTTTGCTTGATGAAGGCCTAACATACCAAGGGTTTAACCATTCTTTGAAACCGATTTTTGCTGTCAAAATTAATGTATTTCCCTCTTGTAGTCTTGAAGTTGGAGCTCTGTGAAGTTGGATAAGAGAAGTCAATGTGGACAAAACCCAAAACTGCAGTGGATCTCAGCTAGCTGATCATTCTGCAGTGAGCTAGAAAAGGCCATTCCTAGATCTGTTTTCCTGCTGAAAGACAGTTTCTATATTTGATTCAGCTGCTGTATCAACAACCTGCTGTGTTTAGAACAGCTCTAATTTATTTCCCACTGTTTGCCTTTATTTTATGGTACTGGTATTTGCTTTAATGTGAAGTCGTTTTCTCCAGATGTTAATAAGATGGTATTAATGTTTCCACAACATTTTTCCTGCTAACGTTTATGTAGAGCTTGCCATCTGATAGTGTGGAATCAACCCATTTTAAAATATTGATAATAATTTTCTAATTAAAATTAGAGACTCAGAAGTGTTTTCCTCCCTGTAAAAATTGAGGTCGTGCACTTTCCTGTGCTTGGGGAAAATTATGTTTTCACTGACTGAATGAATGTCTCTTACTGTGCAAATTGGGAGTGTGATATATGAAATGGTGTCAGTGTTTGCCCATGTGCATGTGAACTATACCCAGCTGCCAGCAGTTGATCCAGGAAGGCATTCTGTGTTTCCATGGAGGTGATGCTCTCATTCATAGCACTGCAAGCTGCCAGGTAATGAGCCTTAAATCTCAGGAATGCTCTGTTGCTTACTTTTGGAGAGAGAATTCCACATGGGGTGAGAGAAGTGGTAGACAGATATGGTCCAGGAAAGCCTGGTGTCGCTGCCTGAAGTTCCTATATGCAAGCAAAATCAACGTTGATACATAAATTTTTTCTTTCTTACTGATCTTTCTGAATTTATCTGGATTAAATGAAAAAAAAAATGAATCAAATCAGCAAATGAGTTGCCAAAGGAAATGAAACTGAAATAATAAAAACCCATCCTAATTCTATGGGATGTTATACTCTTGAGTGATGTTCTGAATACATCTGATAGGAGTCAGTGCTGTGTGACCTCACTCTTAAATTATGTTCACTTTCACTTTTCCATTAACACTTTCCCTCCATTTTTCTATTTAGATCATGCTTCTTAGTGATCCAGAGGTTGAGAGCAGCATCCTCATCAGCTCTGATGAAGGAGCTACTTATCAGAAGTATCGTTTGAACTTCTATATCCAGAGCTTGCTCTTCCACCCCAAGCAGGAGGAGTGGATCTTGGCCTACAGTCTGGATCAAAAGGTAAGCAATTGATTTAATGTTTCAATGATTTTGAGCCAGGAGTTGAAGGGGATATTGTCTAGAACTGCTCCCTCTCAGAGATGATGAAGAATTTATAGTGTGCTTTGCTGTTCTCACTTTGCAGGTTTAAATGTGCTCAAAAGCCATGCAGTGACTCCAAAGCCAGTTTGCTAAAAGCAGCTGAGTATTAGACTGATCGTGATGGGTGTGGAAACTTTAGTAGTGGTGTTACTATGAAAGATGAAAAGAATTAGAGATTTGACATGACAAAACAAGCTGTTCTAAAAATCTATTGATTGGTAGGCACTGATTTCTGTGCTGTCCCTGAGGATGGAGCACTCAGGCTGAGCTGGTCTGTAACAGCTGGATGTTGAGCCTCGAGGGATGCTCATTCTGCTTGCAAACTGGAGGTCAGGGAGCAGCAACAGATGACAAACTCCTCTGTGCCACTTTTAAGCCTCTTTGCAGTGCCTTCTGTGAGTGAAAAATCTCCAGTCTGTTACTTTGTCCTTAGCAGGTTTGCTCTCAAACAGATGAGTGCTATGTGAAAGGTGCTGAGCGGAGCAGGTGCAGTGTTGTAGCAAAGTGCTGTGGTGAGGAGATGTGAGCTTCAGGTCTGGAGCAGCAGTCCCCACTACTGCCCAAAGCTGAGACATAGACAGGATGGTCAAGTTACCAATTCTACAAAGTTTTAAACTTGCCAAGCTTTTATCTTTCCCTTCTTATGTTTCTGTCATCCCAAGACTCTGAAAAGCAAAAACATGCTGAATAACCACTAAGTTTTCCTCACTGTGGTGGGCTGACCCTGGCTAGATGCCAGGTGTTCATCAAGGCCACTTGGTCACTCCTCTCCTCAGCTGGACAGGGGCAGAAAATATAATGAAAGGTCTGTGGGTCGAAATAAAGGCAGGGAGAGCTCACTCAGCAATTACCATCATGGGAAAATCACATTCAACTGGGGAAATTAATTGAATTTATTACCTATCAATACTCTACTGTACTTTATCCCTTTATACCCTACTCTACCAAATAAGAATAATGAGAAATAAGAACTAAATCTTAAAATAGCTTTCTACCACCCCTCCCTTCCTAGGCTCAGCTTTGCTCACAATTTTCTCTTTTTTCTGCATCCCAGCAGCAAAGTGGGACAGGACATGAGGGCTGTGGTCAGTTGTCTCTGCCTCTTCTTCCTCCTCAGGGGAGGACTCCTCACACCCTTTCCCTGCTCCAGCATGGTGCCCCTCCCACAGGAGGAGCTCTCCACAAACCTTTCCAGTGTGAGTCCTTTCCACAGGCTGCAGTTCTTCATTAATTGCCCCACTGTGGATCTTTTCATAGGATGAAGGCTTCAGGAACAGATTCTTCCAATATGGGTCTCCTGTGGGCTCACCTTCACCTGTCCTGCCATGGCTCAAGGGGTCAGCCTGACTCACCATGGCTTTCACTGTGGGCTGCAGGGGAATCCCTGCTCCAGCACCTGGGACACTCCTCCCCTCCTTTTTCACCGACCTTGGTGTTTGCAGTGCTTTTTCTCTCATAGATTCTCACTCCTCTCTGGCTGAAGCTTTCAGAATTTGTTTCTGTGAAGCTGAATTTGCTTCTTCCCCTCACTTCATGACTAAGTTATCTCAGAGGTGCTACCACTGTCACTGATGGGTGTCACCTGGGCCAGCAGTGGGTCCATCTCAGAGCTGGCTGCTATGAAAACCTTTCCACACAAACCAAACACATGTGTTAACCTGTCAGATGTGAGGGTGTGTTCTGGGTGGGATTTTCAATTTTTGCAGTTATTCTGGAAGATTTCTAAACTAGTCAGTCTCACATCCCAGCTACAGGAACAATATAGCTAAAATGCTGTGCCTCTCTATTTGAGAATTTCTTTTGGAAGGCTAGTGCAAGATTTTACCAAATCAGTTACTGAGAATATAATCAAATAATTTCCTATTGCTCTGCTTCCCACTTGCTAAAAGAATGCTGTGGCAGGCACCAGGTGTTTTGCTGCTGTGCTACTAATGATTCTTGAGTGACATTTGCAAGAACAAAGCTATTGTAAACACACTCCTTTCATAGTATCAAGTCTTTACTGTACGAAGGAGTTAGTCAAATGTCAAATATTTTCCTGCAATCAGAGGATCAGTGTAACAGGGATTTTGAAAGAGGCTGGAAAGACCAATCTATTTATTTGATGTCACAAAATGTCTTGATGCTACTTTTAAACTGGAGGTAATAATTTGCATGATCCTGGAGTTTATTTAGACAGGTTTGGAAGAAACAGGCATCTGATGAGGTAGTCATGTATGTGAGAAGCCAGATCAGACATCCTGAGCATGCCTTTGCAAAGAGATCCATCTGCAGTGAGTGCTGAGCATCTGCTGTTGGGATGAAGCACTGTATTTCTACTTGCAAAGCTTTGTAATCTTTTTGTGATGTTAGTCATTGGAGGGAGAAATAAAAATACAAGGGAGGCATATGATTGACTGTGAGCTGCTACTAATGCTCCCCTGATCCAGTGCAGCAATAGCAGGCCAGGAGCATTTTTGCTTCTGCTCTTTCAAACAAATACATCTGTGTGCACACCTCAGCTGCTGTCTTCTGCCCAGGAAAAAGACAAGAAAAATGAACTGAACTAGAAACACCCTTAATTTCATCCCAGAAACTGAATAAAATTTTTCTAAGTGTAAGAGCAAAGATGAGTTGGTCTGTGGCTTGTTGGTCAAGTGGAAATGGAGCAAAGCCAAGTTCAGGCTTTTCCTTTATGTCTGCCTTTGCATTCAAGGCCACTCATGCTTTCCTTCACTGGTCAGAAGGATGGCCTGAAGTGCTGGTTCAATGTGGGTCCTAGAATGGAGCCATGGAGCAGTGCTTTTCCCAGCTGAAATGTTTGCTTAACACGACTGAGGTATAGATTGTGCTGAGCCATGTCTTGGGTTAGTAAGAGCTGTGAAAGAGCTGTCACTGTGAGTCAGGATCACCAGCTTCACTGCAGTCATGGCTGATGCTGAGGTAATGGGCAGTGCTCGTGGAGTGTGACAGCAGTGCCATGGGAAATCCCCAGCTGGAGTCTCTGAGAGGCCAGTGTGATGCATTCCTGCAGGTCTGGAAACAGCGGCACTGCCACAGTCGAGTGGGAACCAGAGTCAGCCCTATCCTTTTCTCAGGTTAGGCCAATGCAAGAATAAAGAGGCTTTTAGGATTTAAGTCCCATATACTTGAGAATATTCATCATATCTTTTGCATCTTTGTAAGATTGTTGTGGTTGTTCTCCTTTTTCTCTAGAAGCCAGATCTGGATCTCACAGCTTCCCGCTCTACTGTGCCATGCCTTCTCTCCTGGGTGTGGTTATGGGATTGTGCCAATGGCAATGACCATTTCATCTCTCTGCTGCTCACCAGAAAAGAGAGACCAAGAGCTTCTAAAATAAGTGTCTAGAGAGGCTGCAGTGGTGCTCACAGCTGTGAGGAGGCTATCCAAAGGGATGCCATGCTGGCAGGGGCTAATTGTCCAACTCCAGCCTAGTTCTGCTCCTGTGCCCTTTGTTTTTGTGCTCATTTTCCTGCAAAGCAGCATGAAGTTGCCTGGTACAAAACAGGTGGAGCTGTATCAAATAGTTCTTGCTTTCTCGGTTCATATGTCCATTTTTTGGGGATAAAACTGCTCTGAAATACTTCTGACTTGATGCATGAGAGGGCAATAAAATAGAAAGTTTATCATTAGCCTGCAACCTGCGGGTAATATTCATCCACTGATACTGTGACAAGGAAGGTGACTTGCTCTTTGCTCTGTAGTGCAGACACTGCTACAGTGGGACACCATATTTTCCCACCTCTCTAAGTTTTAGAAGTGTGTTTGACCCTTAAATTCTATTTTAATGACTTCTTTAGGGACAGATTTAAAAATGCAGATGTTATTCTGAAAACAAATCAAGTACATATAATTTGACTCCCAGTAGCAGAAACTATTAAGGGAAGATCTAATCCATCCTCTTGTAACTGTAAATGTGTAAACAAGTTGGAAAAATTAATTTCATATCTTAGATTAAAATAAGTATTTCAGATTAATATTTTTCTTATTAGTTTTCTTTCAATTAAAAAAATAATAATGTACTGTTTTAAGCAAGCTGTAGTCAACTTGGAAATTAATGAGAATGATGAACCTGAAAATCCATTTTGCTTAGTATGTTGCTCCTCACAGTAAAATGAAATTAAATAGGGACAGTTCAAATCCCTACAAATAATGAAGTTGGTAACTGCCTAGATCAAAAGATTTTTGAATTGTTTTGTTTATAAAAATAGAAAACAATAGTAACATTTCGGAATGAAATACAAATAGTCAGTGTTTTGGATCTTCCCAATCAATAGTTTTCGTCTAATGTCTTCTGACCTTCAGTTCCATGGCTGTGATTCAAGCCTTTGTTTAATGACTGTTTTAACCTAAACATACCTCCTTGTTTTTAGCTAATTACTCCACAGTTGATAACAATGTTAGAGTATTTATCTAGTTGAATAAAGAAATGGCCAACCAACTAAAAAAACCCAACACATTTTGAATGTCCTCTTAATAGGATTATTGTCCCTTCCAAGATGGTGTTTTAAAAAGTCCATTCCATATTCTACAACTTTCTTTAAAGAGGATGAGCCCATCTCTTCTCCACAGAACTGTTCCTTGAAATATGGCTTCATACTGAGAAAGCCAAAGACTTTGTGGTATTACCACTTCCATCAAGTGAAATAATTGAATATAAAAACAGTTCAGTCACCAATTCTTTTATTATCACTCCCACATAGGTATTGTCCCGATTTTTCCTGGTTAGGGCAATTCCCAGAAGACGACTGAGTGAGATGGAGTTCAGCAGGCTTTCTGAAAGATGCATTGCTGTGTGGCTGCTGGTTACGTTGTTGATTTAAGGACAAATCACAGTCCACCACCATTTGTTTTCTCTTAGTAGTATCCAAGGAGTTATTGAGGATACTTCCTTGGTATGAGTCAACACACCATATAGT